AGAATCCTAAAACAGTCAGTCAAAGTTGCATGTAGACTTCAAAAAGAAGATAGAGTACCTACTAGAGTAAATGCATCAAAGTTGAGTACTGAGGTAGGAATAGTTGCGGGAACATGCCCCCGTAAGAGTGTTACTTGGAAGAAAGTTCCTTATGATGTCGAAAAACAAATGATTGCTCGTATCACGGTAAGGTAGTTTAATATCATTATCCATATTGTCATACTTCTATGAAAATAATATATAATACCCATATAAGTTTAATGCATGGACATTATTGATGAATTTAGACCAAGTTTGCATTGATGTCACGGAGCCCATGTAATGAAATGGTTGAAGCACAAATTGTGTAAGAGATTCAACAGCTTCCAGAGTGCCCTACACAAGAAATTCAAAGCATATGCTACTAAGGAGGAAGCATTACAGAATAGACCAGAAGAAATTAAAGATCCTAATGATGGATATATCTTTGTGACCTTTTTTCTAGTGAAAAGTTTCAGGTAAGGTCAACATGGCTTTTAATGTTATTATTTATGTATTGCATTTTAATTTCCTGATTTTATGGTGTTAGGCATGGTCAAAAACTTATTTTGAGAATCGGTTGAAGATGAGGTGTAACCACCGCGGTGGTTCCAAGAACTTTACCAGCACAAAAAGGAAAAAGGTATTAATAGATTCACCTATAAAAATATACAACTTTGTTGTCATGTTTACTAAATTTATTTCAATTTATGGTCAATGACGATATGAAGTTAAGGAGCACCAACTTGGGGAACTGTCGGTCTATACAAATATTCATGACACTCGTTGGAGCGCGGAGGAAGGGTGGATTAGAACAAGCAAGAGAGCTATATGTAAGTTGATCATCTTTCAATTATCGATATATGAAATGTCTTACCATTCAATTGGGTATAAAAGTATTGTTTTTTCGTAACTGTTCCATACTGTCTGTTTTATTGTTTTAATTTGAGTCTCATTGCATTTCTCTGTCATCTTTTGATCACCTGTAATTATGTTTCTGCTTGTGCATTTGTTTGATATTAGCATTTAGTTTTCTGAGTGTTACCAAACTTTGTAACTTTGCGGTGGTTTGCTATTGATATGTTACAAACATTGCAGGATAAGGCTGAAATTTAACTTGTGTTATATTGTTTCTCTTGATGACTAACAGTTGTGATTTTTTAAAGCTGAAAGTTGGAGTTTCTTCTGTAGGAAAAACCTGTTTCATGGTTTATAATCTGTTTGGATTGAACTTAACAGTTTGGATTTATGATGTAGATATTATTATTGTCTGAATATATAATCTGAATGTCGTATAGCTGAACTTGGACGGATGAGATTAGATTTTTTTTTCTATATTTTTGGTGTGTGAAGTCTTCCTTCATGGAATTGAGATTCAGCTTGATTGAAACCACCTAAATCAGAATGATTTAAAATTGTGCACATCATCTTGTGAAATAAATTTTGATTTTCGAAATATTCAGCTTCATGATTGCTAAAGATCATGTATGTTAGTGGAGTTTTACAGTGTGGTAGTGTATGTCCTGGGAGCTCTGGTAGCAATGGCAGAGAACCATGGCTTTGGTTTGCCTCTTGCAGAATTAAAACACTTTGAAGATGGGAATGCATATGTACAATTTATACTTCTTGATGAGTAGTACTGAACTAATCAACTTCCATTCCGTATCACCATAGCACCCTTGCACATCACTTTTATGATTTAGAAAATGCAACAGCCCCTATCTTTCCAATTACTTAGCAAGTTTATCCATGGATATGTTAATGTAAATTTGTTGCTTATATGTGTATAAGAAAAACTTTATGTCAGAATTTGCCTTTTAGTATTATGATAATGTTTGAGATACTTGCTTCTCTACTCCATCAAATTTATTTTTGTTTGGTGCTGCAGATTTTTTATGTTGCTATTTAGTTTGTTGGTTGACTTATTGATTATGCATTCAATTGATGGCAGGAAAAAATGAAGAGCTGCAAGATGAAACACAAGCAGGGGAAAGTGAAAAAATAGAAGCTGAAATATGTGAGGAAGTTCTGGGTAAAGCTTCGGATTTAACTAGAATTTTGCATTTTCACAGATTGAGCATCAATCCACTACAGTAGAAGCAGAGTTAAGGTGCACAGTGCAACAACAAGAAAATAAGATTAAACAGTTGGGGTCAACAAAAGAGAAAATAAAAAGCCTGGAACACCAACAATTTGTCTTGTTGGAGATGATGAAGCAGTAACTATAGCCCTTGAACTACAGCAATCTGATAAAGCTCCAACCGAAGCACCTGCCATCTCCAACTGATGAAGACGCGTCTCATCAGCTACAGCTATTTCAAATACCGCAACTGGTGACACTTGACATGCTAACGGTATTGATGGTTATTTTTTTGTTGTATGGGTAGTTGATATTTGACATGGGGGTATAACCATCTTTGTGATGTTTGCATATATGTGTAGATGGTGTACATGGGTGGGCATTTTTTTGTTAGTATGCACAAATAGATAGGTACTAGGGAAAATGTGGGTGCATGCTATTTTTTGGGTTTGCACATGTGATAGTGCATTTTGGATTTTTATGCTCATCATGCATAAAAACCATGTATGGACATATAATATATGTATGAAAATAGATATTTGATTTAGTGATCAGTTTTTTTTTGTACCTTATTTTGTTGATGTTGAATGTATAATGTAGGTCAATACGAAATGCTCTAAAAAAAAACACATTCTGCAACTAATTTTTTAGTAGGAAAAAGTCATTTAGCATAATTGCATTCCGCTAAAGGTCAATATGAAATGCTCTAAAAAAACACAATCTGCAACTAATGTTTTAGTAGCAAAAAGTAATTTAGTATAATTGCTTCCACATTTAGCGTCTAAAAAATAGTCGCAAAAACCTTTTGGATTTCACATTTAGCGTCTTAAATGATTACAATTAACCACTAAATTTTAGTCACCAAATGATACATTCGTCCACTAATAAAATAGTCGCGAAAACTTATTGGATTCCACATTCAGCATCTAAAATGACTATAATTAACCACTAAATTTTGGTCACCAAAAGATACATTCGGCCACTAATAAAATAGTCATGAAAACCTATTGGATTCCACATTCAGCGTCTAAAATGACTATAATTAACTACTAAATTTTGGTCACCAAAAGATACATTTGACTACTAATAAAATGGTCGCGAAAACCTATTGGATTCCACATTCAGCATCTAAAATAACTATAATTAACTACTAAATTTTGGTCACCAAAAGATACATTCGGCCACTAATAAAATAGTCGTGAAAACCGTTTGGATTCTACATTCAGCGTCTAAAAGTATTACAACTAACCACTAAATTTTGGTTACTAAAAGATTCATTCATCGACTAATAAAATAGTTGCGAAAACCTTTTACGAAATTACCCTTACACCTTTGGCGTCTAATTTTTGTGGGATTCGCGACAAATTATTAGACATAAAAGGTACATTTTGCAACTAATTGATTAGTCGCTATACAATTTTACCAAATTACCCTTCAACTTTTAGCGTCTAAGTTGGGGGACTATTTTGACTAGCATTTAGCTACTATTTTGCTAGTCACAAAAAAAAAAAAAAAATTCCGCATCTAAACAAAAATTTAGATGCGCAAAGAATCTACAACAACGATACTGCAAATAAGGGACAGCTACCAAATTTAGAAGCAAAAAATGGCTTAGCGTCTAAATATGACTTTCTGCGTCTAATTTTGCTAGACGCAGAATGCCAGTTTTCTTGTAGTGTGTAACGAAGAGTTATTACCTTTGAATCTTGAAATTGAACGCACTTGTAAGAGGAATAGTAAACAAGCATGTAGAATGGCTGACCAGGATGAACCTGCACATGTGCCCCTTAGCCAACATTTCGCACCCACCACCTACACTTTAGCCTCATGTATCCGTATCCCTAATGTCCAGACACAACACTATGAGATCAAAACTAGTGTCATCCAATTGTTGCCAATTTATTATGGGAATTTGAATGAGGAGCCATACAAACACTTAGATGAATTTTTAGAGGTTTTGCTCCATAGTTAGACTTTAATATGTGAATGAAGATGTCGTGCGCTTAATTTTATTTCCATTTTCACTTAAGGATCGAGCCAAATAGTGGCTCAATTCTTTGGCAGTAGGGTCTATTATCTCTTCGACCCAAATGCAACAAGGATTCCTAAAAAAGCATTATCCCATTGGTAAAACCAACAGCATAAGACGAGCCATTACTAGTTTCGCTCAACTTGATGGCGAGGAATTTTATGAGAGTTGGGAATGTTTAAAGGAAATGCTTAGGAAGTGTAACCATCACGCAGTCCCTAGGTGGTAATTAGTTCATAGTTTTTATGACAGACTGACCGAGAGGCATAGGAATATGGTAGACGCCTCTTGTGGAGGAACATTTATGCACAAGGACGAGAATGAGTTATGGCAACTCTTCGAGACCTTAAGTGAAAATTCAATGCACCACATTTTTGCGTCTAGAATGCCTATCTCAGGGCAGCCATCTAAGAAGGGTGGCGTGTACGAGGTGTCACAGTTAGAGGTCATTAGTTCCAAGTTAGAGGTGTTGGCCCATCGATTTGACCAGTTTGTATCTATATAAGGGCAACCCTCTACACAATCATCTCAGTAGGCGAATCAGTATGTTTTTGCCATGCACTCCACTCTTGACCATCCAATTGAGGAACCCGCCCCTGACCCTTTTAAGGAGCAAGTGCAGGTTGCACAAGGCTTCCAGAGTCGGAGTGATCCATACTATAACATGTACAATCCTAGGTGGCATATCCACCCTAATTTTTCATGGAAGCCACAACCACCTCAGAATATCCCCAATAATATGCCGTACAGGAACAATCCTTCCAATTAGCAAGGCAATTATAGGGAGCAACCTTCAATCCAACCACCCATTCAACCTAGGATCCCACCTCCCGTCAGCAGCCCACTCTAGTGCCTAGTTCACTAGAATCAATGATGGCTCAAATGCTCCAAACCATGCAGGAGCAAAAAGCCAACATGAATGCTAGGTTCCAAGATTTAGAGCGGAATACCCAACTTCTACATTCTCATTCCCAATTCATTAGTAAGCTAGAGACCCAGATTGGTCAAATAGCCGAAGCAGTCAATAGGAGGGAACAAAGCCAATTGCCTAGTCAAGTCATAGGTAACCCTAGTGGTTCTTCTCAACAGAGAGGGTTTTTCGAACAAGTTAAGGCCGTGATGACTCTTCGGAGTAACCAAGAGCTAATTAGGCCTAAGAGGGAAGTAAAAGTTCAGGGTAGAGAAGAGGAAGGGACCAAGCCAAAGAGAGTGAGAGTGAGCCACTTGTAGAGTCGAGTGTTCAGAGACCAGGTAAGGGGAAAGTTGGGGAGAATGAACCATCCCCTGCATCGTACATACCGAGAGCACCCTTTCCTCAGTGCTTAGAGTCCCCAAATGTTCCCACTACTAGGAAAAGTGCTAGGATGGAGGAAATGATTGAGTTGTTTAAGCAGGTACAGATTAACATTCCACTCTTAGATGCCATTAAACAAGTACCTGCTTATGCTAAATTCCTCAAGGGCTTGTGCACGCAAAAGAGGCGAATGAAATCTCACACACCCAAGACTGTACATTTACCGGAAAATGTAAGTGCGGTTGTCTCAAACCGCATTCCCCTGAAGTTAAAGGATCTTGGAGCTCCTGTTATTTCTTGTGTGATAGGTAATGTCACGACTGATAGAGCACTCTTAGACTTAGGGGCAAGCGTGAACTTATTACCCACTTCCGTGTATGAACAGTTTAACTTAGGTGAGCTCAAGTCTACTAAAGTCATCCTGCAGTTAGCTGACCGATCGGTCAAAATGCCTAGGGGCCTAATTGAGGACGTGTTAGTTAAAGTTGACGAACTACATTTTCCGGTGGATTTTCTTGTCTTAGACATGGAGTATATGAGCAGTGGAAGTATGCCACCAAGGGAGACTTTTTCTAGCAACGGCAAATGCTTGCATTAACTATAGATCAGGAGAGATGGAAGTGTCTTTTGGGAATAGGAAACTGAGACTTAATGTGTTTAATGCTGGTTTAGGACCGATGCGTGAGGACGATAACGAGTGTTTCATGGTTGATGCTATTGACAGTCTAGTGGAGGCTCACGCCCTACAGATGTTATGTGATGATGCAATTTACACTCTTATGAATCTGTTTGTTGAGGAGATATGTAGCTTGAGTGTCATGTCTGAGATTCAGGAGGTTAGTGTGTATATGACTAGGTCGCTCACTCTAGAGCGTCGACCTTGGAACATCAAGTATGAACCCTTACCACTTTTGTCTAAGACAACACAACCGAGGTCAATTGAGTCTCCACCAGTCTTAGAGTTGAAGGTCTTACCTGATACTCTAAAGTATGTTTCCTTAGAACCCAACAAGACCTTACCCGTGATCATTGCCGCCAACTTAGATAGTGAGCAAGAGGAGAGATTACTGGCAGTCTTGACAACATATAAGGAAGCAATCGGTTGGTCGGCAGTTGATGTGCGAGGGATTAACCCTTCTTTGTGCATGCATCACATATTTTGTGAAAAGAATGTTAAACCAGTGCATGACGCTCAAAGAAGGTTAAACCCAAGCATGAAGGAGCTGGTGAAGAAAGAGGTGATCAAATGGCTTGATGCGAGTATCATCTACCCTATATCCGACAGCCAATGGGCGAGTCTGACCCATGTTGTACCTAAGAAGAGTGGTCTCATCGTTGTTGAAAATGAAAAAGGTGAGTGAATTCCTATCGTACTCACACAAGATGAAGAGTTTGCATTGACTATAGGAAGCTCAACCTAGCCACTAGGAAAGATCATTTCCAGCTCCCATTTATTGACCAAATCCTAGAAAAACTTGTAGGGCAGGCTTTCTATTGTTTTCTGGATAGCTATTTTGGATATAACCAAGTACCAGTTTCCCCCGAAGACTAAGAAAAGACCACGTTCACATGTCCTTTTGGTATGTTTGCCTTTCATCGCATGCCTTTCGGGGTTATGCAATGCACTGGCAATGCTTCAAAGGTGCATGTTATTGATATTTTCTGACATGGTGGGTCAATTCCTTAAGTCGTCATGGATGATTTTTCTATGTTTGGTGCATCTTTTGATGATTGTCTCGAAAAACTGGAGTTGGTGTTGAAACATTGTAAAGAGACAAATCTTGTTCTTAGTTGGGAAAAGAGCTATTTCATGGTTCAAGAGGGAATTGTCTTAGGTCATGTAGTTTCCAAGAAGGGGATAGCAGTGGATAAGGCAAAGGTAGAGTTGATTTCTCAACTACCACCACCTTCGTCGGTCAAACAAATTAGATCTTTCCTAGGCCATGTAGGATTTTATAGGCGTTTCATCCAGAATTTTAGCAAAATCTCTAAGCCTTTGTGTGATTTACTTGCTAAAGATGTGTCATTTGTTTTTGATGACTCTTGTATGATTGCCTTTACCATTTTAAAGGAAGTGTTGACCACAGCACCTATCATGCAACCTCCTGATTGGAACCTACATTTTGAAGTGATGTGTGATGCATCGGACTATGCCATTGGTGCAATCCTTGGCCAACAGGAGAATAAAAAGCTCATTGTGATCTACTACGCAAGCAAGACCCTCTCCGATGCTCAATGTAATTACACCACTACCGAGAAAGAGTTGCTTGCAGTAGTGTTCTCCCTTGATAAGTTTCGGTCTTATCTTCTTGGGTCTAGGATAGTTGTTTTTACAGACCACGTTATAGTTAGGTATTTATTAGAGAAGAAAGACACTAAGCGTAGACTAATTTGATGGATTTTGTTGTTGCAAGAGTTTGATCTAGAAATCAAAGATAAAAAGGTTAGTGATAATATGGTCGCCGATCACTTGTCTAGACTCTTTACAAAGTGTGTCCCTGGTCAATGTTTGAATGACTCTTTCCCGAATGAGCAATTATTTGTAATATCCCAATCCAAAGCACCTTGGTATGCCCATATAGTCAATTACCTGGACGTAGGACAATTACTATTAGGGTGGACCAAAACTCAGAAAGATCATTTTTTTGCAACCATCAAGCATTATTTTTGGGAAGACTCGGGCCTTTTTAGGGTGTGTGCAGACTAGATAGTTAGGAGATGTGTTCTCGACCACGAGTTTAGTAATATACTTGCATTTTGTCATTCTTATGCTTGTGGTGGTCATTAAAGTGGCAAGAGAACCTCTTTAAAGGTCCTCTAGTGTGGTTTTTATTGGCCCACTCTTTTTCGTGATGCATTCTTTTATTGTCGTACTCGTAATTCATGTCAAAAAGTAGGGAATATTGGTAGACGAGATATGATGCCCCTGAATCCTATTTTGATTGTGGAAGTGTTTGATGTGTGGGGTATTGATTTTATGGGTCCATTTTCCTCATCTTTTGGCTTTGAATATATCTTGCTTGCAATGTATTATGTGTCTCAATGGGAAAAAGCCATTGCCACTAGGACCAATGATCACAGGGTGGTCGTCAACTTTGTTCAATCGCACATCTTTAGCCGTTTCGGTCATCCGCGTGCCATCATCAGTGATGGTGGCTCGCATTTCACTAATAGGCACTTTGACTCACTATTGAAAAAGTACTCAATCACCGATCGAGTTGCCACACCTTATCACCCTCAAACTAGTGGACAAGTGAAATATGTTAATAGGGACATTAAGACCATCTTAGAGAAAATGGTACGACCCAATCGTAAGGATTGGTCGGTGCGTCTGGATGATGCACTTTGGGCCTATCGAACCACATATCGTACCCCTATTGGCATGTCCCCTTATCAGTTAGTTTTTGGGAAAGCATGTCATTTACCTGTAGAACTTGAACATAGAGCATATTGGGCCATAAGGAAATTCAATTTTGATATGACCACGGCCGATGACCATAGGAAACTTCAACTTTCGGAGTTAGATGAGCTAAGACACGAAACTTATGAGAACTCTCACATCTCTAAAGAGAAGACTAAAGCTTTTCACAATAAACGCATTGTTAGGAAGTCATTATTTCCTAATCAAAAAGTGTGGCTCTTTAACTCTAAGCTTCGCCTCTTTCCGGGGAAGCTTTGGTCACGATGAGATGACCCTTTTATTGTTCTTAATGTTTTCCCTCACGGAGCTATTGAAACCCGAAACCCAAAAACGGGACAAGTTTTTAAGGTGAATGGCCAAAGACTTAAACCTTATGTCGATGGCATTAATGATGGAGAGGTGATTGAGGAGTGTTCTTTATTAGAACCACATCAGCCATGTCAGTGCATTGAGTCTGGCTGAAGACTTTAAACTTAGAGCTTGTGGGAGGCAACCCATCTTCGTAAATATGTTTTTACTGCTTTTATGTTTTTGTCTTTATAGGAATTGCCATGTTTGGAGACTCATTAACTAGTCCAAGGCTATGCTTATGCATGCTCCACAAACTGTGTTGATGACAACCTCACCATTGTTCCTCAGGTTGTATCTCTCCACCTTATATGCTATTATTGTTATTTCTTGTTTCTCAAATATGTTGGACGATTTTAATGTTATTGATCATATTTCCATTTGAGATCATTTGATGCTAAGGGGAGCATGTTTGTAGTTGTGGGTCATTAAAGACAATGACATTTTAAGTTGGGGAGTGTTGATTGATTTTTATTTTTGTGGAGTGTGTTGTTGATGATGCTTTTGTGGAGATTGTGATATTTTTGTGAAGTGTTGTTGATGATGCTTTTGTGGAGATTGTGATATTTTTGTGAAGTATTGTTGATGATGCTTTTGTGGAGATTGTGATATTTTTGTGAAGTGTTGTTGATGATGCTTTTGTGGAGATTGTGTGTTGAATGGATTGTGCTTAAATTTTTGTGGCATGATGATGATATTTTTTTGTTTAAAATATGTTGAATCTTACTCTTGTAAGTCCAAAAGTGGTAAAAGTGAACTAAATTGAGTTATTTTTAAAATTTTTCATGAATTCATGCATATTCACAATTTTAGAAGCAATTGAGGTGCTAGTTGAAAGGTTTTGTGAGGTTTTTGAAACTGGTTTGTTACAACATGGTTTTAAACATTGAACTATTGGTTCTGTTTTTTGCTAGGTTTGTCCATAATTGTGATTAGATACTGTTTTGTGTAAATGTCATGTGTTTTTGTGTTTATGCAAGTCTCCCACACACTTTACATGCCCATGGAGCAAAGTTTCATTTATTATCTTGCGTGTGTTAAAAGTGCTTAAATGTTGCTTGATGATTTGGTTTTGGTTTTGATTTGTAGTCTAGTTGACTCGAGTGATTACGCCCGAGGGGTGTTCTACACCTAATCCCCTAAAGCTATCTAGCTTGGGAGTGATTGACCTAAAGCCCGTTACATGGGTCCTCTAGAAAGCTTAAGAAGTCATTACATAGATCATGAGCTTTATACAAAAAAAAAAAAAAAAAAAAAAATAATATTAAAAAAAAAAAAAAAAAAAAAAAAAAAAAAAAAAAGGTGATGAATGAAAAGAAATTATATATCATAATCTTGTGTGGAAAATGAGCATTATGTTGCATGTACATAAGTTGGGGAGTTTTGCATGACATTTTAACATTGTGATATGAATATGAAATGTGTGTTTGAGAAGCTTGAATGGAGATAGGCAAATCTTGACAGAAACTTTAGTTCTTTAGTTATGATTCTGTTGTTTGCTTGTTATGTTCAAATTCTTCACTTTACCTTTTGATGAATGTCTTGGTTGTTGATGAGTATGGTTGTGTATGGTTTTGTGAGAATGTTGAAAGAGTTCTTTTAACTTTACTTGAGGACGAGCAAATAGTAAGTTAAGGAGTGTGTTAGAGTCATGAAAGTGACTCTAATTTGGTGATAAAAGACCCTATGTGTGATTAAAATGAAATCACATTGAGATAATTAAAGAATTTATGAATTTATTCACGAAAATCGCTTCCTAATATTTTTCTTATGAATTTAACATATTTAGAATGATTTTGAAAGGGTATGAGTTGATATTAGTTTGTGGT